GGTAGAAAGCGTTTACAGACACTGTTCCACTACAACTTGCCGCGGCATAAACAGCGGCAGTAAACATTTAATCCTTTATTTTTTAACACGCCTGACCAGACATCAGAGTACTTGTTGCGCTAATGTACTCCTGTAGCAAGTTTCAACGATCACCACAGTTCCTCCACTCAGGAACACCTACCAACAACTTCGTAGTCTATCGCACTTTCAGTATTTTTGAAAGCAACAATTTCGAATGCTGTCAAAGAAGCTATTCACCGTACCATTTTCTGGTATGAACAATCTTCTGTGTCAGCATCAAGATTAGTACATCTTTCTATACGATCAACTACACATTTAAATTTCTATGGAATTTATTTAATAGCAAGGTAAATCAATTCAACTGAGCCTTTAGCCCCTGGCTATACCGACAAAAAAATCATCGCGATGCTATCTGTGCAACAGGACATGTCCTACGCTCTATGTATGTCAGCAAAGCATGGGTTTCGGTCGTGCTAGCTGTCCGGTGCGAAGGATCGCTGGCTGTGTTTTCTTAGATCATACCTGTTCCATCAATGTCGCAGCGATTTAGGCGAAATTTGGCGATATCACGTCGCTGGTTCAAAATCAGCCACGGGGCGAAATCTCTAAAATTGGATTTCTTTATTAGGAGTTTCTGGAACAGTTTTTCTCTTTTGACTTTTTTTGCAGAGATGTGAAGTGATGCAGATTTTATAAACTGCACTTCTTCAAATCGTGATGCGCGTCTTTCCTAATTCGTGCCAATAGTCGAAAGATGGTTTCAAATGTTTAAAACTTGTATTTGTCATGCTTTCAAAAATCTCAATATCGCAAAATATTAGCAGCCTATAAAACTGCAGCTACAACTTGAGAAAATTGGCTTTGCATCGTGTATCTAATAAAAAAAATTCAAACGATAAATGCTCGCGAGAAGCTAATATAAATTGTTAATGTTGAACGTACTTGCCTTAGAAAGAAAGACAAAGATTTACGTAAAAGAACACGCTAAATGTTGCTCTTGGATGCCAAAAGAAAACTTGGAACAAGTGCTGAGTGTGTTGTATCACCTTATCGCTGAACAGTTGGATGTGTCCCGAACCCTCGATCAGCGATTTGATAATGGCGATTTCGTCCCTCTGATCAAATTCCCCTGCCGGAATCGCGACGATGAAATCGCTGCCCATATAGCCAGGGCTTATGGCAGACATCCAAGTAAGAGCAAAGACCTGGCAGATAACCTTTATCGATCACGAACATTTTGTGGTAAACATGAGGCATTTCAGTCAAGTTGGATAAATAGTTGACGGTTTCTAAAGGGAATTTTGTGTAAAATTTTGGAAAAGGCAAGGTTGCGAACATTGCTATCAAGCAAGCAGAACCTAGATTCTTGAAAGACCACATGTGAGTACTTAATACAAGGATAAAACCTTACCTATCGCATACCTTGCTGGTACATTAGTTCAGAATATGCATCACTTTACACAGGTGATTCACTACTAGATGACGATGTCGTATAATCTAGAATCTTCTTATGAACTGGGAACATTCAGCATAACGGGAAGAATGCCCTTTTTGTGCATTGCGGAGGGGAAGTTGTTGAAAGTGCGAGAGCGAGACATTAAACTCTCTCGCGGAGATTTGGCCCGCTAGAAAACGAGTACAACGGTGTAGTCCTAAAGCGCAGAGAAGCTCGAGACGAGATAGTAGTCTCGAAATGCCTCGAAATCGTATTGAGCGCGACAGCAGTGCCAAATATTTTTCGAAACTATCTCATCTCCATTTCGATGTGAGCATGTCATCGTCGTAATACTCATTGGATAACGGCGTATTACCTCTTTCTGCTATCAATATTTTCAGCACAATCACGATCCTCACTTCTCAATAATAATCAGGGCTCCGCACGAGGTGGCTTCCCGAAACTGCAAAAAAAACGAAGCTCACAATGATACTACGACATTCGCCACGGGAACGAAGCAAAATAAAAAACGCCAAAAAGCATAAAAAACGCGATGGTATTCATATTCTTCAAATTGGCAGCATGATGTATCCAGCAAGCAGCACTACACGAGCAGCGTTGCCGCCGCCATTCAAAAATTCCAAGGGGCTGTAACTAAGCGGGGAGAAGGGGTTTGAAGCGGAACAAATTCAGGAACAAATTTTTTAGGGTGTGGGATGTAGATAAAAATTATGTAAAGAAAAGGGAAAAATTATGTGAGGGGAAAAATTGATTTGATTAAAAATTTAAAAAATTGAGTGATTGGTTGAAATTGATTTGATCAAAATTTTGAAAATTGGTATGATTTCTTCTTTGCCAGGCCACCTCAGCTGCCTTCCAGATGGCCTGAAAACAATTGCGGAAAACACCCAATTGCGGAAAAAGTTAAGGACGCCTTCAGTTCACATATTTTTTTCATAATTTTTCATACTTAGTTCCAACTCCTCTTTGCCCATCTATACACCAACTCTGGTGTCATTTCATCTCCACTTCGCTGTAAAGAAGCCCTTTGTATGCTTGAGAGAGCATGCTGCCGGCATGCCGAAAGCGTGTCGGCGGCAGATCGAAAGACAGCCACGGTATGCTTTCCGCAAAACCGTATCCCCTTTGCTTTTCCCCAAAAACGATATTCAGCTTGCTTGGTAGGCCACCTGTGCCGTACCCTGATTATAATACTCATTACGCTATAGTCTGTTCCTCCCGCTCTAGAACTAGAATCTTCGACTAATTATTTATTTATTTATTTATTTAAAATACACCAAAAGTGTGCCAAAAAGAACACAAGTAATCAATAGCAGGAAATATTATCACACGAAATGTTACACAAGTGTTTATGATAGACAGGTGAGGCAGGTAAAATGCTCCGCCCGAAGTGCAGGTCGTTCTCCTTCTTCTGTGGCGAGTATTCCTCTGCCGAAATCTTGTTCCCTTATCCGGACGCGTTGGATGACCGCACTTACCAGGGCTGGCTGACCACTTAGCCCTTTGCGGACGAATCCGCCAGGGACCCTGGGCGAGCGAGAAGGGGGGATTTCAAGGAAGAGGGGCGCGCCGGCTTCAGTTTCCTCAAACGGCTGAGCGAAGAGACTGCAAACCTGTCTGGATATCTTATAAGAGCGATAGAAATGATTTCGTCAATGCTATTATTCAAGAAATAGTCGAAGTTTTGCAAAGTTTTAAGTTCTTTCAAACAAAACACTTGCTTTTCCACTAAGAAATTTTGACAAAAATCTCAATTTGAAGGCTCACCAGCAAAAAATGCACTGTGGCCTCACTGATTGAGCTTA